TTAACCCTAGGTGGAAAAAATTAAAAGATTATTATTTTCTCCTTTACAGTTTCTTGCAGTTTCTAATTTTCTACAAAACTATGTATTACCATTTTTAAAATCAGAATGAAACTATCGACTTTCAAATATCTGATTTGCTGTGAGTTTGTTCTTGCCTAAAGGAAAGAGTAGGTAACCTTTCAAGTGAAAATTGCTCAGTCGTGTCCGACCCTTTGCGACCCCATGGGCTGTATAGTCTGTGGATTTCTCCAGGCCAGAATACTGGAGTGGGTAGCCGTTCCCTCCTCCAGGGGATCTTCCCAACCCAGGGATCGAACCTAGGTTTCCCACATTGCAGGTGGATTCTTTACCCACTCGTGTCCCTCCTAAAACATGATTCTACATGAGACTTAGAAACGAGGCTTCATTATTAGCCAAAGCATGCTGACTGCCACCAGGAAGTAAAAGCCCTATGCTTTGTTGAGGCAAAGGGCTTATACTTGACCTTGGGAATGCACTTTATTTTTTTCAGATTTTATTAACTAAACATGTTATTAATCAAGGGTCAAGTTCAAGGTCCTGACAATCTACTTAAGAGGGTGACTTTTAGGGACCGGAGGCATTTTAGAGCCTTGGATCAAGTGCCCTCATTTTACAGTGAAGAAGTCAGAAAGGTTGACAGCTTGTCCACGCGGACTTTTTAGATCTAGGCAGACTCCATGCTGAGTTCTGCAAAATAAATGAAAGTAAATGAGGGAGAAAAGTGGAACAGGGATTCCAGCTTGCTTTGGCTTACATAAAAGTCAAAGTCTGCAGTCTGTAACCATATGGCTAGGGTAATTAAAGTAAGGTTATTTTCCTATCTCTATTTACATACTGGTAAATACGTACTGGTCACTCTTGTTATAACAATACATCACATAACGTTTCTTGGGCATGCATTTCACAATAGGTAGATAAGTCATCTTACTTCACCTGTGTCTTTTCTTTCCAAGATACTGGATTTCATTTTTTTTTTTTTAATTTGTTTTACTGAGACAAAATTTACCTTCAGTGAAATGTACAGTTCAGCTTTGACAAATGCATATACCCAAGGTAACCAACACCCCAATCAAGACATAAAACATTTCTACCTCACCCCCTGGAAAAATGTTTCATGGCCCTTTCTCAGTCAGTCGTGCCCTCTGCCCTGATTTATATCACCATGAGTTAGGTGTGCCTTTCTAGAACTTGTTATAAATGAGTTCTTTCAGTATGCAGTCTTTTATGTCTGGCTCTTTCACTCAGAATAGTTTTTGTCTTTTAGAATCATCATGCTGTGGGGTGTATCATAGGTTATTCCTTTTTACTGATGAGTAGTAGTCTATTTGGGGCTTCCCTGGTGGCTCAGATGATAAAGCATCTGCCTGCAATGCAGGAGACCCAGGTTCGATCTCTGGGCCAGGAAGATCCCTTGGAGAAGCAAATGACTACCCACTCCAGTACTCTTGCCTGGAGAATCCCATGGACAGAGGAGCCTGGTGGGCTACAGTCCACGGGGTTGCAAAGAGTTGGACACAACTGAGCGACTAAGTACAGTAATCTATTTTACAAAGAGATGGACTCCCCCTCCTCTGGACATCTGGACCGGTTTGGGCATTAAACAAAAATATATGTTCTGATCCTACTTTAAAAAGTTTTGAGAATTGGATTTTGTTACTATTGAGATTCTGCCTTCTATCAATACTTTTCAGGGTCCTCCCTCCCCTCATCTCCTCTCCAGGAAAATCATAATACATTCAATTAAAGAAGAATGATACAGGTAATATTGAAGATGGGTCAGTTTATTTATTCATCATACAAGTCTGAAAGGCTGAATATAGAAAACAAGTTAATATACTGGCCAGTCTCACAATCTAATTTTGAAAAAGGCAGGTAAAGTTGCAAGAGGTGAAAAAGGAAGGCAATACCACTAACCTGTAGAATCAGGGCCCAGAGATAATTATTACTATTATAGCTTGTACTCATTTAGACTGAACTAAAAGCTAGACATTGTGCCAATTACTTCATGTAATCCTTACACTTGATGTAGGCACACTAGTTAATCCAGCTTCCTATAGGGCAAATGGACGCTCAGAGAATGTGCACAGAAGTACCTATATACTATATGCGGAAGTATGTATGAAGGAGTATATATGAAGCAAATCATAGGAACTTAAAGGAAATGAGGGAATTAATTTTTAAATGGCTAGTAGAGTTGTGCAACTAAATAATATAATTAGCATTTCAACTTTTCCTTTCATTAGCATTTTGCAAACTCTTCTTAAGCCATAAGCTCTCTCTGTTCATGCTCACTGACTCTGGATGGGTATCCAGAGTAGCATTTACCTCCCAGGGAATTACAAGCCAGCTGGACAATTGTAGTTTTACAAATAGAGTAATTTAACACCTCTCTTTTAAAGATTTAACACCACTCTTGATAACAAAATAATAGTACTTAGATATTTTGGATATACTGTTACCAACAATTCTGGCTGAAATCCAGCAAGAAGGATTCCAGTGGGAAGGTGAGTAGTTTAAGTGATCTTTGGGGATTCTACTTAAAAATATTTCCCTTAAACCCTCTTACACTGTTGGTGGGAATGCAAACTAGTACAGCCACTATGGAAAACAGTGTGGAGATTTCTTAAAAAACTGGAAATAGAACTGCCATATGACCCAGCAATCCCACTTCTGGGCATACACACCGAGGAAACCAGATCTGAAAGAGACATGTGCACCCCAATGTTCATCACAGCACTGTTTATAATAGCCAGGACATGGAAGCAACCTAGATGCCCATCAGCAGACGAATGGATAAGGAAGCTGTGGTACATATACACCATGGAATATTACTCAGCCATTAAAAAGAATTCATTTGAATCAGTTCTAATGAGATGGATGAAACTGGAGCCCATTATACAGAGCAAAGTAAGCCAGAAAGATAAAGACCATTACAGTATACTAACACATATATATGGAATTTAGAAAGATGGTAACAATAACCCTATATGCAAAACAGAAAAAGAGACTCAGATGTATAGAACAGACTTTTGGACTCTGTGGGAGAAGGCGAGGGTGGGATGTTTCAAGAGAACAGCATCGAAACATGTATATTATCTAGGGTGAAACAGATCACCAGCCCAGGTTCGATGCATGAGACAAGTGCTCCGGCCTGGTGCACTGGGAAGACCCAGAGGGATCGGGTGGAGAGGGAGGTGGGAGGGGGGACCGGGATGGGGAATACTGTAAATCCATGGCTAATTCATGTCAATGTATGACAAAAACCACTGCAATATTGTAAAGTAATTAGCCTCCAACTAATAAAAATAAATGAAAAAAAAAATGTTTCCCTTAATACTCCTCTTCTCTTCCTTTCCTTCTCTCCCCACCCCCAAAGATCTTTTGGTATTCCTTTCCTTTACTGCCACTGATTATTATATTATTCCTCTATTTAAAATAGGATGGATGAAGCAGAAAGTATTCCTTTTTCTGACAAGAAAGGCCTGAATATTATTTGGGAAGATTCATCCTTAAGAAGCACTGGGTGAGATATATGTTTCATGTTAAAATAATTTATCCATAGTATGTATTATGAACAAGGTGCCTTTCTGAATTAGTTTGCAAGGGCTGCCATAACAAAGTACTCCAGACTTATTTCCTTAAAGTTCTGGAGGTTAGAAATCTAAGAATCAAGGTGTTGGTAGGGTTGATCTCTTCTGAGTCCTTTCTCCCTGTCTTGTAGATGGCCATCTTCCTCCTGTGTTTTCCCATGGTCTTCCCTCTGTGTCTGTCACTGTCCTAACCTCTTCTTCTTTGTACTGGGTTAGGGTCCACTTACATGACCTCATCTTACTCTACCTCTTTAAAGGCCCTGTCTCCAAATACAGTCACATTCTGAGGTACTCGGGGTTACGACTTCAATACATCAATTTCAGGTGAACACAATTCATCCCATAATACTTCTTATCTGCATCACAGAACTAAGAGACTTACTTAGGAAAACAACATGAATGCAATTATGTCCTGTGTAATGCCAGAGAGAAGGGAGGAGCCATAATTATGGAAAATTAAAGACAGACTTCGAAAGCATTACACAATTCTTAATATGTCAACCTCAGCATTTCTGGTTCGGTATCATAGCGAGAACGATACTGTCACCCCTCCTCGCCCAATTTGCTTTTCATATTGTTAGCTACTTAAACCCTCCAAGCAATTTCTGGATTAGGTCTCGTGCTTTACCTCGGCCACACGCTGAAAAGCACGCTGAGCTTTCACTTTCCGCACAAAAGACATATTACCACTGTCTACCGCAAGTTCTAAGCGCTTTACTCCATCACCCGCCCTCCCCCACCCTCTCACGACTATTCCCCACCCGTCCTTTCAGAGCGTTGGTCACCTACATCTACAAATTCTACACAGTGCATTTCCATCATCCTGCTATTTCTGGGTGGAGGAAAGGGTCATTTCTTTCTCCGAATCCCGATTTAGATAAAGCAGCAATCCTGTCTTTTTGCTGCAGCAGACGGGGCGAGGGCCTCTCTCCCAGCTCAGGGTCAAAGTGCTAATGTTTAGGCTGAGTCATATGAGCGGCCTATAGTCCTGGCACTGTTTAACCACGCAACTGACAATGGACACAGGAAGTCCGACAACCAATCAGAGCGTAAATATTTGCGAGCATCTTTTTTTCGGGGGTAGGTCATTGCCAAGTCCGACCCAGAGGAGGGGCACGACCAGGCTAGAGCAACCAACTCAGACCGCGCGGCCAGCCTGGGCCGCACACCCCAGCAGCGCGGTGGCGAGCGCGTCCCCGTTTCCGCTCGGGCGCCGCTGATTGGACGGACAGGCGGTGGGCGCAGCCAATCCGGAGTGGCATCCGCGTCTCCTCCCCCCGCCCCTGGGCGTCCCGGGGAGTTGACCCTGAGGCTGGGCACCGGTGTCGGGGAACAGGCTCCTGGGGTCTGCGGCAAGATCCCGGGGCTGCGGACTCCGGCGCTCAGGCCATGGCCTCCCGCGGGCTTCCCCAGCCCCCCGCCGAGGACGCGCCCTGGCCGCTGCGCCTCCTGCACGCGCCCCCGGCGCGGCTGCTACTGGACCCCACGGGCGGCGCGCTGCTGCTGCTCGTCCTCGCCGCGCTGCTGGGCTGGAGCTGGCTCTGGCGGTTCCCGGAGCGGGGCATCCCCCCCGGGCCCGCGCCCTGGCCCGTGGTGGGCAACTTCGGCTTCGCGCTGCTGCCGCCTTTTCTCCGAAGGAAGAGCTGGCCGTATCGCTGGGCGAGAAGCGGAGCGATGAATGCCTCGGGCCAGGGCGCGCAGTGGCTCCTCACCGACCTGGGCCGTGCGTACGGCAGCATCTTTAGCTTCTTCATCGGCCACTACCTGGTGGTGGTCCTCAACGACTTCCACAGCGTGCGGGAGGCGCTAGTGCAGCAGGCCGAGGTCTTCAGCGACCGCCCGCGGGTGCCGCTCACCTCCATCCTGACCAAGGGGAAGGGTGAGCTGGGCCGCGCCTTGGGGGTCAGCCTGCGAACGCGCGGGTGGGGCTGCAGGTGCGCGGAGGCTGTGGGTCCTGGGCCCCTGCGGCCGCGCACCTGGCCCGCCCCACACCCGGAGGTGGAGGGAGGCGCGCCTACTCCCGGGGCCTTTGAGATCGCTTCCGTCCAGCTGTGATAGGCTCCATCCGCCCCAGGAGTATTCACTCCTTCCCAGAACAAGGCCTCACTCTTCAGGCTGTGTTCCCTGCGAGAACCTTTGGCCTGGTTAAAAAGAGAGAGGGATATTTACACCGTTGGCCTTCTGAGCGCAAGAATTTAATATGATTATTTTCCCATAAGATAAAGGAGCCAGTTGACAAACCTAATACATAAGGTTTACAGCCTCTGTGATTCCTGCTTACGGAAGTCTAAGTTGGGCAGTTTTGAGGGTTGGTAAACACCTTATCTGCTGCTGTCGAATATCACAGTTGCCCTTTGTTTATCAGTGTTCCCTCTGTTGTATTGGCCGGCATGGGTCCCAGGCTGTTTTTCCATCTGTGCCAATCACGCCCCTAACTCAGGTGTTAATTTCAATGTCTCTCCTGCAGGGAGGTTTGGTTTTGGTTTTTTCCCTCTCTTCTGCTCCAGGTAAGTTAGGCTCTCTTGTTAGAACTTGTTAAATTGCAAAAGAACTTTTCCTTCACTGAAGTTATCAGTCCTGAGGCTTCAGAATTTTGTAATCTTGGGCTCAAAGGTGTGTCCTCACCACTAGACTGACATCTAGGAGGACAGAGAACTTCCTTGTCTTCCCTAGCACACAGTAGCGTAGTAGTGTAGTGTGTGTGCTCAGTCGTGTCAGCCCACCAGGCTCCTCTGTCCGTGGAATTTTTCAGGTAAGAACGCTGGAGTGGGTTGCCATTCCCTTCTCCAGGGAATCTCCTGACCCAGGGGTTGAACACCTTGTCTCTTGCATCTCCTGCACTGGCAGCCAGATACTTCACCACTGTGCCACCTGAAAGGAGGAGTCAGTAACTGTTAAGTAAATGAACTACTGCCTCCCCTTCTTGGAATGTGGCATAAAGAGATTCAGGCTTTTTAGACCCTGATGAAGCCAGACTTTTGCATCAGGATTTTAAATGAATAGTAAAGATGACCTTAATATTTTAATGTTTAAAACATTAATTTTGATATTACTGAAAAACAAATTACACACTTCATAGCCCATACCTCACCCTCTCCACATCTTCACCCAGCCTGCTGCTTCTACCTGGAATTCTCTTCTGATCTCATGGCCACCTGGAGAACTGCCTGCTTTTCTTCTCTCTCTCTTTTTTTTTTTAGTATGGTGAAGTACAGATAGCATAAAATTTACCATCTTAATCATTTTTAAGCATACAGTTCAGTGGCATTAAGTCAATAACATTGTTTGTGAAACCATCACTGCTACCTCCAGAACTGTCTTCATCTTTCAAAACTGGAACTTTATACCCATTAAACAAACACTAAACACCCGCTAAGCATTAAAGTCTCTAACCTCTGGCAACCACCATTCTATTTTCCATCCTAGGTAATTTATTTAAGTAGAATCATGCAGTATTTATCCTTTTGTGACTGATACATTTCACCTCATATAATGTTTTAAGGTTCACCCATTTTGTGGCATGTGTGAGAATTTTCTTCCTTTTTAAGAGTGACAACTGTTCCATTTAATGTTTCCACTGCATTTTGTTTATCCATTTCTCCTTGATGGAATATTGGGTACTTCTGTCTTTAGACTATTGTGAAAATTGCTGCTGTGAGCATGGTATATCTACAAATAACCGCTCAGAGTCCTGCTATCAGTTCTTTTGGGTGTAAATCCAGAAGTGGAATTGCTTGATCATAGATGCCTATGTTTAGTTTTTGAGTAACTGCCATACCATTTTCCGTAGCAGCTGCGCCATTTTACATTCCTACCGGCAATAACCAGTTTCTCCACATCCTCACCAATGCTTGTGCTCTGTTTCCTCATACCTGCTTAAGTGTCTCCTCTCTGAGAATACGTTCTGTGACATACTTCTCTACCCTCCCAGCCAGAGGTGAGCTACTCTTTTCTCTGTGATACCATTGTTTTCATTTAAACTCTCATCCCATTCCCTACCTGTCAGTCAGTAAGTCTTGTCAGTTCCTACTGCAGCAGATACATCCATGTGCTGTATCCATTCACTTTTCCCCATCTCCATCTTATCCAAGCTACAGTCAGTTCTCATCTCTTACTGCAGAAACCTCTTAACTAGCCTGCTTGCTTCTGCTCCGATCATTCATATATAAAACAATCAAAGGGATCTCTTAAAAAAAATATATGAATCAGAACAAATCATGTCACTCTGCCACTGAAACCAATTGCTTCCGATCCTGTTCTTGACCTACATGCCCTAAAGGATCTGGCGTCGTTTGCCTTTCAGACTTTACCTTTTTCTACTCTCCCTTCGCTTGTTCATTTCAAGTACAGTGTCTGCTCTGGACACCCTAAGCTGATTCCTGCAAGTTGGTGACTGCCTCAGGCTACTGGGTTTTGTTATCCTTGAACCTGTTATCCTTTTTTACTTGGCTGACTCTTTCTCATCTCTTAGGTCAAATGTCACCTTTCACTCCTGTTTTAGACATTGTCCAATGTCATAACTTAATCTCATTCATATTTCACTAAACTCATTCATTAAACATTTTGAAAGCATTTAGCCTATTACCAACCCCACCTGCCTCCAGAATGTGACCTCTGTGAGGGTAAAGATTTAGGTCATCTTCTTAACCACTGTACCCCCACTAATTGGCACACAGTAGGTAGTCAAGAAATGAATGAATGCATGCACCCAAGCACCTATTGTTGTACTTACCACATTGTATTGTCACTTTTGTTGCTTGCCTGTCTTTTCCTCCTGATTTTTTAAAGGTAAGAATTAGATTTTCTTCGTTGAGGTCCTTCTTGGTGGATGTATAGTTTGGTTAATAATCCATAATAAGGCAGTTTTTTTTTAATTGGAAGATAATTGCTTTATAATACTGTGCTGGTTTCTGCCATACATCACCGTGAATCAGTCACAGGTATACATATGTCCTCTCCCTCTTAAACCTCCTTCCCATTTCCCCCCTCATCCCACCCCTCTAGATTGTCACAGAGCACTGGGTTGAGCTCCATAAGTCACCAGCAAATTCCCACTGGCTATCTCTTTTACATATGGTAATGTATATGTTTCCATGCTACTCTCTCAATTCACCCCACCCTCTCCCTCCCACACTGTGTCCCCAAGTCTGTTCTCTATGTCTGTGTCCCCATTGCTGCCCTGCAAATAGGTTCATCAGTACCATCTTTCTAGATTCCATCTTTCTAGATTCCAAATATACAATATTTGTCTTTCTCTTTCTGACTTACTTCACTCTGTACAATAGACTCTGTCTCTTGGAGGAATTAATACTTTAAGTGAAGCACCAAATTATCCCGGGCTCTCAAGACTTTCCTAAATAAGGAGGGATCTAATAACAAGCTGTGATTTGACTAATACTTAAAAACTGCTTTATTATATATAATAAGGCAGTTATTGTTATATGTAATATAATAAGGCAGTTATTATACATAAATACATTGTAAGGCTGTTATTATTATACATAATAAGGTAGTTATATATAATAAGGTGGTTGTTATTACATATATAAGGCAGTTGTTATATATAACAAGGCAGTTTTTAAGTATCAGTTGGATCACAGCTTGTTATTAAATCCCTGCTTATTTAGGAAAGTCTTGGGTGCCCAGGATGATTTGCTTTAACTTAAAAGTGTTAATTCCCCCAAGACACAGCTACGTCTTCTCAGGTGATGCTGCTCTGGTGTTCTGGTGGACATATGTTGGGCAAATGTGCTGGAAGAAATTTATGTTGCTAGTGAAGGTGATTGACAGGAGATGGTAAAGCAAGAACCATATGTAACAAGGGAAATGCTTATGGATTTTACTTGGAATAAACAGTAGGCCATCTGCATAGGGATATGTAGATAGGCAAGGAATCTTTTAATGGAATTGTTTCAAGGGCGAAGAATAAAATGGGAGAAGGTGAATTTATCTCAAGATGCCCATCAAGGGACAAAGGAGCAGATGAGTTTTGGGTTGACTTCATAGATCTAGAAGTGGATGGCATGGTCAGCTTGCAGGAGATCGGCCACAGGAGTGAAAGGCTGAGAGACGCAGCTCAGCAAGACTTGAGGAGTGCCCAGGCAATCCTCTCTCCCTTTGGTGTTCAATCCCTTCAGTGTTGTTTCCAACGGCAACATTATACAATGTGAAATCGTCCAGAAGGAGGATGTGTAGTCTGTAAGAGAAGGTGATAGTAGGAACTGGAGACCAATAGTGTTATTAAATGTTTCTTACAAGATGTTTTTTAAAGAATTTTGCTACTAAAGTTGGTGAGACTAGCAGAGAAGGAATGTTTCATGAACAGTGATGTGCTGGAAATTGTTCACTTAACACATTGTCAACGAATTCTAGCATGTAGGGAAGTTATTTATTTGAGTTTTTCAAATGATTGTGCTTAGACAAGTTGATGTTCTTTTTAAACATAAAAACTATAGTCAGCTAGATTGGCCGTAAAGATGTTCTATATTAGCTATGCCCATCAAACCTACTGATCCATCTGATTCTGTTCCTGAGCAGGAATAGTTAATAAAGCTACAAAGTCAGGTTAAGAGGTACAAACTACTAGGTATGAAATAAATAAGCTACAAGTGTATATTGTACATCACAAGGAATATAGCCAATGTTTATAATAATGTTAAATGGAGTATAATTTTAAAATACAGAATCATCTTGTATACCTGAAACTAATTTTGTATACCTGAAATTAATATAATATTGTAGATCAACTGTACTTCAAATTTAAAAAGTTTATTAAGTCAGAGCCAAGGCTACCCAAGAAGTACTTTACTTACCAGAATGGCATAGTTTGAAAACCTCAAGGCAAAACTAATAAATGTAAATTGTTCCAAAGTGGTGCCA